AGATAAATAAATAATTAAATAATTTCGATACTCATATTAGATGATGAAAAATAAAAATCGATGAACTTATTTTAACAGTTTTTTTGATACAAGATTATCGTATTTTTTTTTTTTTTTTAAATTACAATTATTTTTCAGCATAACACGATGTTATAGCCAGCAATATAAGACGAATTCAATAATCAATATACTACATAAGACTTCAAGTAGTCTTGAAATGAAGATTACTTATTTGTTGATATAAAACTAATGACAAGAAGAGTAATATTTTACTTTATTTTATCAGATATTCAAAATGTTATTATAATAGAACTATATTGAACAGAAATTGTTGAAATAATAAAAATTGCTTTAAATAAAAGAAATTATTATTTGATTTATTTGATATTATTCGATTATAAAATTATATCCGCTTTGTTTACCTTAAAAATTCGCAATCTATCTCTTTCTATACCAATTTTTCACGCTTTGTACATATCTTATTCAGCATTTCTTTCATTCTTTTTTTTATTCACTTTGTCTTTCACATTTGTATTTAACATTTCTACGTTTACTGTTTATCGATAACAGTCGATGACTCGCGCTCTTTATCCGTTACATGTTACATTTTTTCGTTAACATAGCGTCGCGTGGCCTCAACCCTATAATTCGCACAATGAAGTCATTGACACTGTATGATATAGAACTCTACTGAACTAGAAAATTGTTAGCAGATCGCTAATAAACAAAGCGTTTCTATGATATAAAATTTATTTAGTATTATAGTATATGTGCGCATGTTACTATATGGCAGAAATAATCAAACGATTCATAATCTTTTCTTGAGCCTCTTTATAAATAATTTTTGATTATCAGATCTTCAAGAATTGTAATATATGTATTTATATAATAATTAATATATATTTTAAAATACTTATCAAGAAATTATCAACAATATTCAAATTTTAAAAGAAGAGATTTATTATAAAAATATAGTGATAAAATAAAGTGATAAATATCAATGTTTTCATTCATTGGTTTATATTATACAAAAACTTTAAAGATCATTAATGATCGATTTTGAATATTTGAATAATGAAATTTATTTATTTATTTTCAAAGTCATTTTAAGATTAAGTATAAGTTATTGAACTTATTTTGATAAGCTATAATATTATATTATAAAAAAATGAACATTAATTTGCAAAAAAAAAGATTAAAATGATCTTAAAAAAATTGTCAAAATGATTTTTTACTAAATATTTTTTATCAAATATACTAATTTCAAAATTAATTTAAATATTATCTAGTCTTTTTTTTTCACTTCTAATACTAGAGAAAATAATTTAAATGCTCGATTTAAATTTATAAAAATATTTTGTATATAGTGAAAAAGCAACTATAGAAAAATTTTATAGTAACAACTTATGACATAATAAAATTATATAAAAATTTGTTTTTTATTAATATTATATTGTAATATAATATAGATCTGTATAAATAGAACGAATATGATTACATATATGATGTTAAAAATATAAATATTTATATTTTTTTATATTTATATTTTAGTTTAAAAAATAAAAAAAATATTATATAATGATATTTTCTTTAACATTTACTATCAATATTTATGATATGATATAATATAAGATAATTTAAATTTATAAATAATATAATTATATAAATTTATTATATAAAATTATATAAAATTATATAAATTATATAAATTTATAAATAATATAATTAAACTAAGTTTAATTTAATTTTCAATTTATGTATCTTAATACATTTTAAAAACAATAAAATAGTGCACCAATCGATACATAAAAATATTTTTGTCTAAAAATTTTATTTATATTATTTATATTTATTTATATTATCTTTTATAAGTACATAAATACTCTCATTCTGATTATCTTTAATAATTTATATTTTCTCTATTTTAAATAGTAGTATTTAAAGTTAGTATTAATATAAAATTTGATGTTCTCTTTTAAATCAATTTTTAAAATTGAAAAAAATTTTTAAAATTAATAAGTATTTAATATAAATAAATTAGCATAAATTGCTAATAAAAAAATTAATTGTTAGTTTTAATATATATGTTATGACTTATAAAAATTCAAATTAAAAATATACAAAGTTTTGTATTTTCGAAAAAATAAGGAATTTATTATAAATTTTTAATATTAATATTTATAATTAATTTGTAAATTTAACAAAAATTATAAAAATATTTTGGTTAGATAAAATTAAAATCAGTTCTTTTATTAATATTTATATCTATTAAAATACAATAAATATAAAAACTAGAAAAAAAAGATTACCTTTAATAGATATATTATATTTTATTAATTCGATAAACATAGAAGTTACAAAAAGGATTTAATATTATTTCAAATTAAAATATATTTAATGATTTGTTCATATTGTAATTAAATAGGTATTATGATCGATATTATTTTGTAGATTATTATATATTATGTAAATATTTTTTGAATATCTTTTTGACAAATCAATTAATATTGTATTGTTTTATAAATTTTTTAAAATGATTTATATGTTATTATATTTATTATTTAAATTATTAAATTTCAAAAATCAAAATAATTTTATTGCGTTTTTATATTTATTCTCATTAAAATTTTGGTTAACAAATGAATAACAGTATGAATGAAAAATGAATATGAATAAGTCATATATATATGACATTAATTTATTAATTAATATACATATATAATATTTTAATTATATTTAATTATAAATAAAAAAGATATTATCATCAAAAATTTTACAAATTTATTATTTACAATTTTATTATTAAAAAGTTTATAGTTTCTAGTTTATAGTACATTAGAAAATTCTAAATACATAAGAATAATTGCTAATGATAGTATAACCATTGATCCATTAATATATTGGTAAAAAACTATTACTTTGTATAGTAAAAAAAAGCAAAGCATATCTATAATAACATGTAATAATGTAACCATAATATTCGATCATTTTTATTATATTGTATTCGCATTCTATACTATTCTTATATTATATTTATAAGATATAGAATATTAGTATTATATTATATGTATAGGAAAAGTTATTTAAAATAGAAGAATAAAATAGAATAATCAATTTATTAATTTCTATAATTAATTATTAATCTTTCTATGTATGTATAAAATGCAAATTATATTTATTTTTTTTTAATTTGAATTTAAATTTATTTAAATTATTTTCGAAAAATATTAAATTAAAATTTTCTAATAGTGTAAACTCATTATGTAAATTCATTATTATATATTATTTTATTTATTTAATATTTATCTACATTTTGTCTATAAGTTAATTTAACCAAAATTTCTTATAACATTATAGGTTTTTATCATATAACAGTGATACAAATTTTAAAAACTTTTTCGTAAATTTTTTTCATAATTTTTAAATAATTATAAATTATTATTATGTTTTACAAAAATATCGATGATTCTGAATTTTTATTATTTTATAATTTAAAGCTTTGATCGAAATTAAATTGTTTAGTTAAGTTTAATTAAATAGTATTTTTTGATCCAATATCTTTCGATTAAATTGTAAGACAAGAAGTTAAATATTAAAATTAAATTATTGCAAGCATTTACAAGTTATTTGAATTGATTCAAATAATATTATTTCAAATGACTCCAGTATTGTTCTTTTAAAATTATAGATCTCCACAAATCCTGCTGATTTTCATTCAAACTGGGTTTCCGGTATCGTTGAAGGTAATCCAGTTAAAGATCATAGATCATATATAATATTATTCAGTACGTCCACGACGAACGTTGAGAAAGGGACTTAATCGAAGTGAGCAATTTATAAGAGCGTGGACGGTCGAATGTTTCATTCAGTTGAACCATCGTGATCCAAGGCGACTAGTCCCGACTAGTTACCTAACGAACCGCTTGCCATTTTCTGCAAACATTTTCATCAAACTTGAGTGATTCTTTCTTCAATGTAAACCTTCGAATTTAATCTTTGAGAAAATTAATTTTTCTTGTTTTATTTGCGATTAAAAATCATTTAATTTTGTTTCGTAATTGATTCATTAAATTTCGTTGTAAATAATACAAAGTTTATCAGAGAGAAAATAGTAAAAATGAAAAAGTGAAAATTCCAGTGATGGATACGTGAGTGTCAAAGCAAAAATTTTCTAAAATAATTGTTATTTTCTAAAAATAAATTTAAAAAATTTATGTATATTATAAACGAGTAAACTGTTTTATTAAAAAAAGAAAATCGTATTTATGAAAAATTTATCCTTATATTTGTGATTGTGAATTGTTAATAGTAAGTTAAAAATAATTTTTTTTCTTTCTAATACAAATATATTTCATTTGTTATTACTAAAAATATAGGATAAATATGAAATAAAAATTGTTAATTGTAATTAACTTGATTTTAAATAAAACATTTTAAATAAATATCTTAGATATAAATAATTTAAATAGATATTTTAGACAGATTCTATACATTAGAAATTTACATTTCTTACATAATAAAAATAGTATAAATGAAAACAAAAAAAAAAATAATTTAATAAATAAAACCATTTATAATTCATAAGTTTATAATTACTTGCATATGAATTCGAATATTCATTAAATTTTATTTTATTCATAAATTTTATGCAACATTCATATTTTATATGTGACAGACAAATTTTAAATTCGTGTCTTGTTTAACAAAAAAATTCATAGTTATAGTTTTTACATTTTACGTAATATTTAAACTACATCAATTTTTAAAAATTATATTATGAGATGAATATATAAGATAAAGAAAAAATAAATTTAATGAATATAAATGATAATTACATTCTTATCAATGTATTCTTAAGTCACGTAAAGTCTAGGACAATTCTGAGCAACTAATGGCTCGCAAATCGAATGCGACTCCTCTTCCCAGTCCTCTCCTACGTTCCTTTCACCATACTTCTTGGAAAAAGAATAAAGGGGAGGTTAAAAATCTATAGAGGCTTGCTTGTTTAAGCGTTTGCATTTTTGCTTTGCTTTAAATGTTCTTTCCTATTTTCACCAAATTTTGGAAATGAAACTTGAAGTGAGTTTTGAGCGTGATGAATGAAGTTCAATACCAATCATTAATTATTTCGGCATATATCAAATTATGGATATCGTCTGCAGTCGCTGAGTTTAATAAATATAAAGATGATTTCTGAGAATTCAATTGAAACTGAAGAAAAAAAAAAAAAAATTTTCTTTTCTTGAGTGAGATATCGATAACCATAATGCATTGATATCGAAACATTGATTTCGATTCAACTTTCATTCAAAACTTACTTTGAAATTCCGTTTCCAAAAATTGGAATAACATTTAAATAAATAAAAATATGTATTGCAATAGTATATGTATATTTACAATTACAGTGAGATAAAACATAATAGAGGAATATAGAATGATTAATAATGGAAAAAAATAAATATTGATAGTAGTAGATAAATAAAATGAAGATAAGATGAAGAAAAAATTATCCAAGTTTGGTCTAGGATATAATTTCGAGAAACATATTATATGTATATTTATAGCTATAGATTGTAGTTAAAGTTGAAATATTAAACTGAATGTACATTCGCATACAATCGCTGGAATAATTATTTATTAGCTTGACATTGATAACTTGACATTAATGATAAATGATATACAAATAAAGGTCTGACAATGAATTTCGCAAATTCATTGTGGTAAGAGCTGTATCATTGATTAATTTCATAGAATTCATTTCTTGAAATATAATATTAAGTATGAAAGTATATAAAAGTTCAAACTGCTACATAACATTTAGCGGACATATGGTCTCTTTTCTAAGTATTTGCTACTATTATATCAGCAACATAAAAAAAAACAGAGGATAAAGAAAGAGAGAATAAAGATAATTTAAAAAAAATTTTTCAAATATAACTAAAATTTATTATTTTCCAATTAGATGTAAATAAATCATCGATAAATAATTATTCTATATGTAAAAATAAACAAAAAATGAGATTTTTAAAAATAACTTTTTTTCATTTAAAAATTAGTTTTTGAAAAAATTGAATTACACGCCGATTATATGAGTTCTTAACTATATATTTTCAATTTCAAAAACAAAGAATAAGCGATAAAATTTATTTTATATTTTATTTCTTTTTCACATGTAGAATAATCAGTTATCGATAGTTTATTCATATTTAATTAAATTTTATTTGAACATTTTTCTAATTTTTACTCAAAAATGAAATTTCGTATAAAAAAATTTTATTTTGATTTATTTTTTCATATAAAATTATTTCTATTCGATCTATTATTAGGATATCTATCAGACAATATGAACGAAAAATAGGAAGTAACAAATCTGATCTCTCATAACTAAGATTTATAATAATATTATAATTTTTATAATAATTTAACCAATATATTAATGAAATTTTCACCAATATATTAATGAAATTAACATAATAACCTGATAAAACCTGATAAAAAAAGTGACAAAGTTACTTATTATAGATATTATAAATAGAATTTCTTACTTTACTTCTTAAAATTAATAATTAAATTAAAGTTAATAATAATAAGCTCATTATCGAAAACAAGTGAACGATCACCGAGAGTCACGGATATCTGTCAATTTTTTTGATTTTCATGATAAAAATTTTTCTATAAAAAATTCTTCGAAAATCTCTAAAAGAGATTTTTTTACTTTGATTTATCGATTAAATACGACAAATATTTTTTGTTTTTTTTTATTAGTCAGTTATTTTGTTTTAGTATTAGACTAAAGTAAAAGTTCATTATATTATAAAATAATGAAATCGATGTAATAATTTCAATCAATTAGAATTCAAAAAATTAATTAAAATTTAGAATTTTGCTTGAATTGCACGTAGAAAAGGACAGTGAAAGAAAAATCCAGAGAAAAAAAGCATTCAGAATGAAAATATGTACTTACATGTATCATTCGTTTCATAGTATTTCTGATTAATTATATAATTTTTATTATATATATTATTATCTGTCGTAATTATTAAATTTTTCAAATATATTTAAAATTTAATTATACAATATCTTCAGCAATTGTTCATATTTGATAATTCATAGGTTTAGTCTCGTCATATTAGATTTAATATATATATATACATATATACATCATAGATTTATGCACTTGATATAATTTTGTTTTTAAATTATATAGATTAGGTTAAACGTAGGAAAAATATATATTATGTTTGTATTTGCATCAAATTAAATTTAATAAATATATATTTAGAAAATTTTTGAATAAGAACAATTATTAAAAACAATAATATGAAGAATACAATGTTTTATATTTTTGTAATTTATTAAATAATCTTTTGACTTATATATATTTTTGTTTAATTTATAATTGACAATATAAAATAAATATTATTTTGAATATTATTATTTATTTTAATTATTGTGCTTATTATTGTTAAAATAATTATAATTCTTTTTCTTAATAAAATTAGAATTATCTTTTTATTCAAACTTCATTCATAATACGATGAAACGTTTCATATATTACAAATGAAATTACAATTGTCATCATGAACGCTCATTTTTTAAAAAATTTTATTTAATTATATTTTATAAGTAAATTATATTATAATCATATATTTGAAAAATAGTATAATTTTGATTCTAATAGATTCTAATCAAATAATAGTTAGATTAGGGAATATATTATCAAGTTGCAATGCAATAAAATATTTAATTTATTTTATTTATACAAAATCTAAAATCTTAATTTAAATATATATATATATATATATATATTTTTCTATAA